ACTCTGGAATTACACTTCCACAAACGCTGACGATGGTGCAAGAAAGTTTCTCACATCAGTCTCAGAGTTGAGTCATAAAGATACTTTTGTTTTTGACTGAATTGTAAACGGACGTGAGACAAATCATGCTACCGAAGAAGTTCCCAGGAAGAACTCGCTCAGGCTTTAGCTCTGACATGTTGTCTGAGCACGTTAAACTGGAAGCAGCTGCAGCTGGAACACTGTTTGTAGTGTGTGAGAGACTCTTATTGTAGTTGTAAAAAGCCCTTTTAAGAATAGTGTAGGCATATCTTTAAAGGTACAGGATGAAGAATTTTATCAGAATTTTACACTGGAATATCTACATTCATAAAAAATGGACTAAACCTACATTATGTATTTTAGTACCTACTCAAATATTTCCCAAAATTATTAACTCTGGATCAACTCGGGACACGTCCTGACAGAGTCTCTATGACAGACACGACATGTTTATTGTTGCCATGGAAACACCTGATTGTCACGTCAAAGGCGGCTGCATAAAGAAGCGTGAGCTGCTACTAAAAGCTGCTGTTATAAAAACGTCATGTAAATTAAACTCCGATACATTAGCTCGTCTGTAAACATATTCTCTTCCTCAGGTCGGTTTCGCCCGGTCGTCATGACTACGGTCAACCCAGAGTTCGTTTTCACCTTGGTAGAGGGGAGGAGTAGCAGAGAGAATCTCTCCCATGATTCCCCGCCAGCCTCGACGTCATCTTTTTTATATATTTTTTTTGATTGAGCGCCCCCTGGTGGCTGAATCTACATACTCTGGGTTTAAAATATTTCATAATAAAACTTTTGAAGTATCGATCAAAGGTGTGAGAGACACGGTTTGGCCAGCTACAGCCATTTGCATTATATTTGTTAAATTCAAAGAGTGAATTTAACATTTGCAAATATGATTTTCAGTGTGAGCGTCATGTGAGCAGAGAACTGAAACCAGCAGAACAGAGGAGAAAGTTTAAGGTTTGATTTTCAGGAGGAGAATGTTTGTCTCGTGTTGTGAAAATGATAATAATATAAAAGTCCTGTGCAAACATGAACAGCCCATATCACACCAGAGTGGAGTCGAGCAAAGAGACAGCAGACAGATTTCTTTCTTTCCTCTGAAATGTCCATAATTGATGCTTTGTTGATATCAGGAGTGCTAGGCCACTTCAGATCTACTTTTTTTTGAGGGCTGAAATCTAAAAACATCTCCACTAGAGTCTCTGAGTTCCCCACGCTGTCTCAAAAGTAGGCCATGGACTGAGAAAAAAAACAGCGAGGAGAGGAGGTGGAGAGCGCTGAGCGGAGCAGTAGGAGGAGGAGGAGGAGGAGGAGGAGGAGGAGGAGGAGGAGGAGGAGAGGCTGGGGAGGGGTCAGGTTTATTTTTACCTCTGTGACAGTGAAGCCCCACTTCCTAATTAACTGCAAATTAGCTCCTGATCAGTCGACAGTTGCAGAGGGCCGCGCTGACAAATCTAGACTTCCCTTATTAGCACGTTCCTCTCCGTGGGCCCCGGCCTCCGAGGGCCACGCTGACCCTCTTCTGAGCGGGCCCCGGTCCAGGACTGACATCTGTTCTCTTGATCCGTCACATCTGAGACGGGTCAGCCTAAATCTGAACGCCCCTGATGCTTTTCTCTGGATCAGTTTTTCTGAGCTGCTGTTTCTGTTTTCTGGGACACTCGTTCTCTTCAGCTGAGTTACTTTAACACTCGTTTGTAAAACAGCCGACCGAGTGGTTTTATTGCCTCATGACTCTCACCGCTCCGTCAAGTTGGTGTTTGTTGTTTTATGGACTTGAGTCAGGGGGTTTTTATGGGATAAACTTGATTGTGCTTCAATGCACCTGACACCTCAGCTAACAATGTTTTTTTTTTTCAGACACAGAAACACATTTTAAATCTGCTTTGACTTTCCCCAACATGCTCTGCAGCCCAGGACGCTCAAACACCTCGCAGCAGCACCTGCAGCTGTCAGTGTGAGGTGTTCAGATGGAGCTCTGACTGAACCTCTCCGTCTCTCTCTCTTTTTCTCTTCCTCCATCGTTGGGACCAAAGACAAGGTCCAGTGCTCATGTCCTTATATAGACCTGTGCTCTGTGCGATCTGGCTGAGGCTGGGACCATGTTACACACACACACACACACACACACACACACACACACACACACACACACACACACACACAGGAGGCATTTAGGTGCCCCTGGAAAAGTCAACATATATCAGGCTTTAGCGCTTCACTGCATGTATTAATATGTTCGCGAGTTTATGGAAAGTATCAGATTTCCTCGATTATTTCTCACCTTGACTCCGCAGGAAAAAACAAAAATCATTTTTGGAAGTCAACTTATCTGCGATCTTTCCGAGACTGAAAGGGTAAAACTGATATTTTAAGACTTTGCCAAGGCGTGTTTTTTTTTTTTTGTAGTCTAAATGACGCACAGATACAAAAAGTTTGAGGATATTTTCAGGAGGACCGCCCCTGATACGGTCATGTGCAGCAGTCACAGAATATAAACGTCACTCCCCCCCTCCCATTGGCTCGAGGTGAATTCTCCTGATTATATCCTGCTGCGTTCTCATTTCAGCTCACTCGGACTTGCTGTGGGAAAAAAAAACGATTCTAGGGGTCTGACAGGAGAAACTCCGGGTGAAGTCTGAGAGAAAAATGTGTCTGTTTAGTGTGTTCACACATGCAGCTCCTCCTGTGAAATATCAGGAGTTTATCAGGAGTTTTCTGCAAGCATGAACTCCTCATTACTTGCAAGACAATCGATCACTGGTCACTCACCCATCATGTGATATTAACATCATCAACCCTGCTCCCTAGCTCCCTGAATGTCTTGACTTTTACCCGCCGAGGTCACACATCAGCTCACCCTGACTTTATGTAGAGATTGTATTTGGGGGGCTGGCGTTTCCTGGTGAGGAAATGGTTTACGTTCACACATGCAGCTAACCCCCGAACAGTTTGGGACATTTTCCTGAGTTGCATGAATTGGCATGTTTGAAACACAGCATGACACAAAAGAAAAATTGATGGAGCTTCGGTAGAGGAGCAACTTTTTTCATCTCTTTTCTGGAAGGTTAAATTACAGATTTCTTTGCAATGGACTCCAGTGGCTTTGAAAAAGGGGTTAGAGCTAGTTATAAACATAAAGGTCTAAGTCTGTAGGGATCCTGTCTGTACGTACATCTGACAGGCATATTGTAAGAGATATCCAAACACTGCTGTCATCTTGCTGGATGTACCGACAGTAAAGATGTGAATGTGCTCCTTTAAAGTCTCCGGCTCGAGCACAGACGTGTACAAATGTGTCTTCCTGGATTAAACCCTGTTGGCCTCCTGTATGGAGATGAAGTGAACTTCAGAGCAACATCAGTTACGTTAAAGGTCTCGGACTGCGTTGTCAAATAGGTGAATGTTTTTGTTTGATAGGGTTGTCACGGCGACAAGGTGTTTGTTGTGCTTTTGTGCCCCGATACCATCCAAGGATACTTCACCTCCTGCTGTAATATACGAGGGCTTTGTTTCAGAGCCTGCAGATCCCAGCTGGATTCTTATTATAGACACACACACACACACACACACACACACACACACCTACACACACAGAGAGAGCTGTTCATCAGACCTAGTTATCGACGTAGGGAGATCTCTCCTTAAATGGTAGACTGCCCGGGGCTCTGTGTCTGTTTCCACTGAACAAACCAGTCCAGGGCTGGGAATAACCTTTTACAGTGGAGGAGGGAGAGAGAGGGGATGACAGATATAGGGCGAGCAAAAGAAGGTGAGGGGAGTGAGAGATGGTGAGAGGCTTTCTGAACCGTGAGAGAAAGATGCTTTGACTTTCTGTAACTGTCAGCGTGTGGTTGTACCTCACTCATTCACAGACGTCTTTACTCTTTGGTACGAGGTTATCAACATACCAGACCTCCTGGATATGACACCAGTAATAACCAAATGATATCCATATTGTATTCAATACCAAGACATCCAGAAATAGAAGTCCTGGACAACCATTATTTGTTTTTAATTGAAAAAAGAAATGCAGACAAACTCCTCCTGCACACTTTCAACTGTAGAAGTACGTTGACAATGATTTACAACTGAAACCATTTGACAGATCTGTAGTTTCTGTAAGTTTTGGTACTTTTTAGTACTATTGATCATGAATTGTATCGTTTTTAAAACATATGGTATGAATGTTGAACACTTAGTTTGGTTTGTTCTCTCCTGAGGGCTTCCTGGTTTTTGGAAAAAAAAAGGCTTTTTATGTCTTTATTTAGAGACAGGACTGTGGGTAGAGTCAGAACTCAGGGAGAGAGAGAGCATGGAGGAATGACATGCGGGAAAGGAGCCACAGGTTGGACCCGGACTGGGGACGACCACAAGGAGGACTACAGCCTCCCTACATGGGGCGCCGTTAACCACTAGGCTACCAGCGCTGTCCACTCCTATCTTCATGAATTCAGTAGCTTGTTCAAAATATGACTCTGTAGGCACCATGAAGAGTCATGTCTTTGTGATGTCCTCCAGCTCATAGTTCAACGTGGTGGGGCAGTATGAAGAGCGGGATATTCCTATCAGGGTGGAGGTGGTGGTCTAGGGCGTGTAAAACAAATAGTCAGTGTTCTTTGTTGACATCTTCTGAGGTTCTTCGCTGTCATCAGTTTTTATTTAAACCCAAATCCAGATCTTTTTCCTAAATCTTGTCATATTGCAGCCTGTTGAAACTGAACTGTGCAGACTGGTCATGGCGAGCTTGGTGGTGGAACCTGTCCTCCATGTTGCATGTTTATGTTTGCTAAGATATGAGCGCCACATGGAAAAGTGATGTGAGAGGGAACAGGATCGTCACATTTTGACGTGCTGCTCTAGTAATAGATGAGTTCAAAGTGAGAAAGTTGATGCAGAGTTCAAACACCTAGACGCAGCCTGAATTTATAACATGACTAACGTCTGTTCTCTCTTTCTCTCTCCAGCCTGACAACCTCCAGAAGACATGGCTGAGAGAGTTTTATCAGGTAAGTGAATCAAACATGTCAAACATTTAGAGCAACACTATCATGTTGTTGTTAAACACAGTGGGTTCATTATTAAGGAGTGACTGAGGTTTACTTCTTGAACATTTTCATGAATTAAAGGTATTTGCAGCCGTGGTTGGCATTTCACTTTCACTAAAAAACAGAATTGGAATTACAGTCACAGATTTATAATGAGAATGAAATAACTCATACGACACTGACACAGACACTCAAAGGAATCATGGTGTTCAACTGAACAATTATTTCAACTTCACATTGAACTAAACATCGGAACAATTGTTTTTATGACAATTATCCACAAAGTGTGCAGCTGTTGTCACTGCAGTGAGGCTTCAGCGATTATGATTCTGGGAGAACATATCCAGAGCCTCTTGATATGTGAAGTCAGAAACGTCTGGCGCTACTTGCAGGAGAGCAAGTGTTCCCATCTTCACCACCCTGGGAGTGTTTTTAAAAAACGCAGATCTGTTTGTGTGCTATTCAGGTTGTTGACGCGACATACTTTCATACTGTCTGTCCGCTGGTGGGAGTGTGTTAACCTGTGTGTGTGTGATACAAACAGTCAATAAAGCAAACACTCATGAATCCTGTTCCTCACGTTTAAACGGTGGAACAGACAAAGATTTTTTTGGTTGAGGACTGAAAGGATTAATCGCTTATCAAATAAAATAATAATCAGTTAGCTGCTTCAGCGTTGGTCTGGTTCCAACATCAAACGTTTCAAAACGTCCCACAGTAAGCGGCTCTGGGTTTCTATAGCTTCCTGTGCTTCCTGTGATAGTGAACCCCGAGGCTTCTTCTTCACGTCAGGTCGACGTTCTGTAGATCAGGTCATCTGAAGGCGTGCTTCCTGAGACCCGAACAGCAGAGATCAGAAACAACGAGCAAAAGCTGCGGTGCATATTTTCAAACATTTTTATCTTGTTTTCTCTGCTCTGTTTGGGAATCTTTATATAAAAATGTGCAGACTTCTGTTGAAGCCGCTGTGATCTCGTTCACCCTCGTTTCACCCTTTTGTCGGAGCATTGTTTATTGAGGAAGAGCTCATCTGGAGCTCTGTCATGCTTCATATCAAACCTTCAGATCTTCATAGGAACCCCTGACTAACCACAACTCTTTCCACTGAGGGGGAGGAAGTGAGGCGGCGTGAACCGCTCAAAAATGACAGACAACTGAGGAGAGAGTGAGAGAGACACAGAGAGACAGAGAGAGAGAGAGAGAGAGAGAGAGGCAGACAGACAGACAGAGAGAGAGAGAGACACACACTGAGGAGAGAGAGAGAGAGAGAGAGAGAGAGAGAGAGAGAGAGAGAGACACACACTGAGGAGAGAGAGAGAGAGAGAGAGAGACACACAGACAGAGAGAGAGAGAGAGAGAGAGGTGTTTGTGAAAGAGAAAACTTTCACAAACACCTCTTTCTGCAACATGTTTTCATTAAGGCGGGACTTTCAGGGAAATATTTCTGCAGAATGGAGCAGTTCAATGTATTTTTATATTCTGTTTGTTAGGACCTGTGTTTGTGTTTGGTCCTAATTTGACTCCTGGATTGGAAAAAAAGGAGAGAAAGAAGAAGAAATTAAAGTCTAATCCAAATATATTTACAAAGCAAACTTCAAACCAACATTTTAATGAAAACCTCTGCTTCAAATTAAACATAAAACTTGGACTGAAGACTACAGTATGGCAACAAAGCCAAAAGAAAAACATCTAGAGGAGACTCAGACTCTGTGTTTAAAGATGAGGAATAAGAATTATTAATTAAGAAACCAATTGAGCTAAAATGATGCGTAGCCTCCTTTTAAACAGCTTTAACACATCTGTACCTATCGGTCAGATCAGCCACACTCCTTATTATGCAAAATTCTTAGCCTTGAGAGGTTTTAACTGTACGGTTTTTACCAACAGAGTAATGAGCAATAGAGAGCTTTATGTTGACACTCTCAAGAGGACACTCGAGGAACTGTAGTTAGAAGCAGCACAAAGCGTTAGCTGAAGTTGCCCCCATGACTTTGACTTTGGATTTAGTGCAGCTAGGCCACAAATGCATCCTCTTTTGAAAAACTGACCAACATTCACAACAGCTGCAGCTTTATTCCATGCACAAGAAGTAAGAAAAACTGAAAGGGTGTTAACTGAAAAATGTCCCCAGAGTCAGACTGTCCATGTAGAAGCTTCTGAAAGCTGTACAAGTCAAATGTGTCAACAGACAGAAGGACAAAGAGAGAAACTGTGACAATGAAAGACACACAAGGAAGAAAAACGAGACTAAAAAAAAAACAAGGGCAAGGGTCAGAATAAAGTCATATGAGCTATGTTTGGGTAGTCATGTTAGCATCCTTAACTTTGAGACCATTCTAGTAAAATCAAACAGTTTCGATACCTTTTTATGATACATGGTGGTTAAAAATATGATATGTTATTGATTGTAAGTCAAACTCCTGCACCTTGTCAAAATAGCACAAATGGGTACCGAAACGTTGCCAATGTATCCGTGCAGTTTAGACAAAAGCTCTTTAACGAAGTGGGTGTTTTTCGCAAAAGTGCCGCAACTAAGCTCAGCCGTAATCACATCTTTGTACATTCATATTGATTCTGTAGCGGCGTAATATTACTGTCACAGTCTGTGAATTCACATTGCGTTTCGATGTTGAGTAAGCAGCTACACACACACACACACACACACACACACACACACACAGCGCTGCACTCCCCCGCTGATCCCATGTCCCCTGCAACGCCTCAGGTACTACCTCCGAAGGCGGCACAGAGGGGAGATCACTTCAACCCTGATTACATCTCCCCGACATTCAGATTTGATTTCTGAGTTGTTGTTTTTTTTTTTTTTTTTAAAGCTTCCACACTTTTGATATAATTGGTGGTTATATCCTTTTAAAACACACAATGTTGAAAAGTTTCAAAGTATCTTAAATTGTGACGACCTTAGTTTTGGCCAATCAGAAGGCGGATCATACCCGAGTACTCACACAGTCATATACACGGCGTCCTGCAATAAGGAAACACATGTCGTCACCGTGAAGTGGTTCAACTCACAGCAGGTCTCCAGATGCATCATGATAGCGCATGAGCATCCTGGAGTGTGTGTGTGTGTGTGTGTGTGTGTGTGTGTGTGTGTGTGTGTGTGATACCCGGACGTTTATTTTTCCACTCATGAATCACGCTGTGACTTTATTTGTGACTGGATGAAGAGCTGTACAGTGCAGATAGTGCTACAGGAGGAAAGGTGTTCAGTGAGCGAGAAAGGTGAGGTGAGGACACACCGTGTGGACATGACGTGCTCACAGAGCCACACACACACACTATTTCACGTTGTTTCTCTACACCTCATACATGATCTAGTTCTGTTGATGGAGTCGGTTTGAAGTGATGCTTCAAATATCGAAGGATCCTTCCAGGATTTTAAAACCTCAGCCCTGTTTTCTTTAAATACAAATGTCAGGGACTTGATGACTAAAAGGTAAAAGTGAATTAGTGCAACATGTTTCTGAATCGCTCCAGAAGTTTGCAGCTGTCATAGATACAACATGTCATCGTACTGATCAAAGTAATCTTCTAAATCTGCCTGTTTTTACACGTTTTTTATTTGACCTGTAAAATGAAAGAAAGCAAGCTGGGCTAAAGACTGCTTAATACTTCTGCAGCAAATCTATGTTGTAGTGGCATACAACGTTTTGAGCGCTACATATTTTGCGATGGTGTGTTGGCGTAGCTGTTCAATACTCCACTAGATGGCAGTGCGGTTTTCTATGCTAGTTATATTACCAGCTTCTGGTTCTGCCACACTCTCTGCTTGGTAAATTGGAAGCTTGATCCAAAGTCAACTGGACTGGTTGAAGATCTTGAGCTTCAACCAGTCCAGGTACCTTTGGATCAAGCTTCCAATTTACTATTTCTTTTAAGATTTATCTATCTTCTCGTCATCATTAGACTCCGTATCTCGATGATTTACATGTGGTGCAACCAAGGAGAGGAAAATGTGAACCAATCACAGGGCTCGTGCCCTTTCCCCTCAAAGTTATATTTTTACGCTAACCTACAGCATATTCTACAGCGTATTGCATGCAGAAGTATGAATTGAGTTTAACAAGCTTCAAGCAGAGGTAAATGGTGTAGACGTCCTGAGTTTACAGAAGAGGTCAACGCATTAGAAAAGAAAATATGAGCCGGAGGAATATTTTGAAACTTGCATTTTGAGAAAAGGACAAAAATCAGAGGAAGGAGATTTCAGTTTTTTCACTGCTTTAAGAATAAAGTCAGAATGCCAAAATCGTCTGTCTTTGATTTATTTGTTCTAATACCTGGAATATAAAATATCATGTATGAAGGATCTCCTCGTTGGAGTCTCGGCATCTCGTTGCAGAAGTCAGAAACTAAAAGTGTGTTCGCTGTGAGCGTCTGCTCCGTTTCCCTCTTTCTGATTGTTACTGTCAGTGACGTGTCGAAACAAGTCGACTGCCAGGTGATTCCAGCCTGAATGTTTAGTTTAGCACTCCAGTTATTGGACAAGTGTATAGCGTGTGCGTGTGTGTGTGCGTGTGCGTGTGTGTGGAAAAGTCATGTCCTGGTTACTGCTGTTGAGGAATTCTGTTTGCATTGTGCTGCAGGCATGCAGACATTACAGGAAGATATCAAGTTTGTTGTGTGTGTGCAATAAGAGAGAGAGAGGAAGAGAAGCATGCTGGGAGAGGGAGAGGGAGAGGGAGAGGGAGAGGTGTGCCCCTGTGTGAACCAGCAGACCTGCAGCCTCATGCCAGCCCTGTGTGCAGCCGGCTGACGTCATGGAAAGAAGCATCAGACTCTGAACTCTGCAGTTAGCTCCAATCAGCCACGCTGCGCTCGCTCATCATGACCCTCCACACACACACACACACACCACACACACCACACAATACGCTCACTGTGTCTGCTGTAACATCACCTGCTGTTTGGGCCTGAACTCATCGAACTGACATGTGTTTTTT